CGCCCGGGCCCCGCCGCAGGGACGTCCCTGAGGCGCTGATGACCTTGAAGGCCTATTATTTTGTCCTAATCGCTGACATGATTTTTGGTTCTTCTTGTTTGTCTCTCAGATCATGTGCTTCTCTGAGAGCTTAGTTTCTCTATTTTCAAGTAGGACATTTTTTCCCTTTTATATTATGAACACAGTATCACAAAATTATTTTACATTACAAACCGGGAATAAGGATTCCACTGGAGAGTAAACTCTTTAGGAGCGGCATGTGTCTAGCCTTACGAATGAAGGCTGTCCCCTACATTTTGAAAACTTGCCAGTGAATGAAGCCACTGACAACCACGCGAAGCCGCATCTGCAGGTACTCCTGTCCTGGAGGGGACACAGCATCCGGCTGTCGAAGCATTTACCAGCCGAGCGCGTACGTCTAGAACACTCTCAGCCCTCCATCTGTCCTGTCACAGGGTGAACGTGCTTTTTAGCTCGCTGTTGAAATTGGCCTGGAAATTGCTGGCTTGTGCTTCCTTTAGCAGAAACCACTGCCTTCAGCTTTCCCCTTTCTCAGAGGGCTCTCCAGCGTCAGCACGGAGCCCTGCACTGACGTCCAGTCAGTGGCTCGGAGAGCCGGGCAAAGGAGAAAGCCTATAGCTGATTGCTCACTAACCGTAATGGCCCTAACACCTGGTACTGAGGAGAGAGCAAAAGACTAAAGGAACAGAGAAAAAGGACACAAAGTAATGGAGAGAGAAACGGAGACCAAGAGAGGAAGGGCAAGAGGCAGAACAGGGACCTCCAGTTGTTGGGCGCACTTAGCTTTCAAGCTTTACTTTTTCCCCAGCCCAAACTCCTCCCCCACAAAAGCACATTTCCTCCAATTGAAAGGTCTTGGGCAAGATTTTCAGTGAAAACTACTTCCTTCCCAAAGCTTAGCTATTGTTTTAGAATACTTCAAAACCATCCCGCATTACAAATACTCCTGAAATTCACATTTTGACATCATTTTGTATCATTTATTAGGCTGTCTTGAATGAATAAAAAATATGAATGATGGCTGCAAATTCTGCAGAAATATATATATTTTTAACAGTGTAGGTTGAGGCTAGGGCTTGCAAGTGAACGAAATTCATAACTCCTTTGTCTATCTGTATTTCTCGTGGTTATGTTAACAGGATTTGACATCATGCTAATAGGACCTGACAGTGATTTGCAAACCGTTCAAATGGAAGATAATTTTGCTGGATAAATATATCAAGAACATGTAAGATTTTCTATTGCATCATACTGGTACATCATTTTTCATTTAGTAGGGTGCCAGTTCTCCTCACTATGGAATCAGAAGAAGAAAACCATTTAACAGACACAAGAATGACAAGTTATCTGTTGATGATAATGTATATGGTAATATCTGTGACTTGATTGATATGCACTGCATTCATGCTGGAAAAAACCATTTCGTACGCTGTAAAGATGTACAGTGATTAAATGCAAATTTTAAAGAAACGTAGAGAAAAATGAAAAAGATAAAAAAGATGAAGCTGCCTAGAGCAAACGAAAGTGTAGAATGTTTTGCTACTGGGAAATACAATGTGTTTCAACAAGTGTTTAAAAAGGTCCATGTTTGCTTTACTTTCTGAATATTCTTATGTGTTAGATATGAGGGGGGGAATGTTACCATCCAGTTTTTGCCCTTCGTGGCTGTAAGGTCAACTAACTCCTTAGATTTTTGAGGACATAAGTCTAGCCAGGTTTCCTTTTCTTTGAGTCTGTTTTACCAACCCACTGGCTCAGCCCCTTCTGCCTCCTCTTCCAAGTGCCCTGCCTTGGAACAAAAGCAAGAACTTGAACTTGCAGCGAGCTTGAGTCAGTGCTGATCGGGCTTCTGTCACATTCTGGGGTAGCTCCTGCCAAAAAGGGAAGCCCCATGGCTGGCTAGGAACTGTCCACAGAAGGCGAAGAAAGGTCAATAAAATAAAATAACAAACATTGTTCTCATCTTGTGGAATGCTCCAAAGACACTTCGCAAAGTAACAATTAGCAGATATTGGACAGTAACATTTAAAGAATGTAGGGTGTAAGTACAGAAGGTGGATAACAGTTTACAGTAGGCATCAGGGTGTTAGTCTTCGACTCCTTTAACAAAAGCCATTTCAAAGATAAGGGAATTTGATGAAGCAAACTGAAGGTAAGTTTCAGAAATAACCATGGGCTCGAATCCTGCCTTATGCTTCATTTCTTCGTCCCCAAAATATTAAGCTTAAAACCTACACCAGGGCCTACCAGGAATAGCTATTGTGATAATGCACGAAAGGAACTGTTGAGACTGACACCTCACGTAGGTAGGAAGACAAGCCAGCAGACCCGAGATGCTTGCTCGACATTCGAGAGGCAATTACACATTTCCCTCCTTGCAGGGATTTAACAGAGAGGAAGGTGAGTCTTCTCTACTAGAGGAGAGACTTATACCTACTATAGCTAGGGGAGAGGAGATACAGAAAGTGAACCTTCCTAATGTGGCATGGAAAAACGTCTAAATCAGACTAACACACTGCCATACACCACAACAGGTGCAGGACTTGGGCAACTCGAAACAACGGAGAAAACTCACATCGAGGATTTCCTTGTTGGCTTTTGGAGACGTCGCTTCTCTCAATTCCTTGATGGCCACAGGAATTTTAACTTTCTCACCTTCTGGGATCCAGAGTCCCTGTGACAAAGAGAGTGAAGACATTACTGGCAACTGGCAGACCATGCAATATATTGTCATGTGAGCTGGGTGGATATTATTATTATTTATTTGACAGCAGGTGTGTGGGCTTTCCAGAGAGAGAGGGAGAAAGCACCCTCAGTAGGGCGTGGTCACGCTTCAATCCCATCGCACTTTTCTATCCTTTCAGGACGTTGGGCACACATGCACAGCTGGCATGTTTTTCAAGGCCCTGGAGCAGGAGTTCAAACCGTGGTTGGCAATGTGGGCTCCAGCTCCTCTAGTCCCTGGGCCACGGGTCCTGCTGGAGCTGAGTGGATATTTTAGTGAAACAATCTTAGTGGGTGAGGGACATCAGGGACACAGCTCTCCAAGGCCAACACTGCTGGGAGCCAAGAATCTCAGGAAACTTAGGCTATCAGCTCCAATTAGCAGAGTAACCATCTAGATTAACAAAACAAAACAAAAACCCAAAACACAACCCCCTAAGGTTGTGCCAGTTATAAAATCAGTATAAATCATTTCTTCTAGAAGTTCAAGATGTGGGGCCTTGGCCTAACTGAAATCAGACTTCATGCAAAAAAAAAAAAAAATCTAGAAAAAAACACATTTAAGAGGAACCTGCTTTGACCTGAGCTTTCTTCTAATGCTCTAAAGCTGTGACAGCTGACACTCCTTCTGTCTTCAAATGTTCCCTGGCCTGTGCCACAGACCCCTCTGAAAGGTCAATGACACCTTCCAGAAAAATGCTTTTGTTTTGTGTAGAGGTCTCACAGGGCCACTTGTTTGTCACTGTGGTTATAAAAGATTTCCTCTCAATAACTTGAGCAACGTGTTGGAATTTCCAAACCCTCAGCTAAACAAAAAGTAGATGATATCTTCTCTATGGCCAGCACACTGAGGACTCTGGGTTCACCCCTTGGAATGTGAGGGTCACAGAGAGCCTGAGTTTCAGGGAGCTGGCCTCTGCAAGACTTACCTTGTACACAGTACCGAACGCTCCAGAACCCAGCACTTTGATCTTTTTGAATTCCGTTTCCTTTAAGATCCTCAAGAGAGCCTGGTTGGGAGCTTCTCCACTGGGCGTGAGAGGCTCAACGAGCTGTGGACAAGGAAGCAGACGTGAGAGGCTGACAGGACGTGGTGCTGGGCGAGCCCAGAGCGTGAGCAGCTAGCGGCTAGCCACGTGTACTATGCTTTAGTCCAATGGCCCTAATGCTCGTGCAAGAGGAGAAATGCACGCCTTCCCTGAGGAGAAATGGACACCTTCCTTAAAGAGAAATGGACGCCTTCCCTAAGGAACTTAACGACACATCATAGAAACAGAGACTTGATACGATGCTTTTAGACATAACAGTACATTTCAACAGATCAGTGTCTACGTCTGTGCCGTGCCAGTGAGCTGGACTGAAAAACTTGGGTGAAGAAAATTCTTCTATAGTGGTAGTCAGGTACCATTATGTCTTTTTTTTTTCTTTATGTCAGAGGGCATGGCATGTGTGTTCACCAGAGACAGGCAGGGAAGAGAGAAAGAAAGCATCCCCCAATGGGGCATGGTCATACCACATCCTCTTCTGTATTTCTGATCTTGTTGGGATTTTGTGCATATACCCAACCTGTTTCCAAGCACAGCAGCTGGGATTTGAACCAGTCAGCCATGTGGAATCCAGTTCCCTTAACCACTAGGCCATAGGGCCGACCCACAAGCACCATTCTGCCTATGAGCTTCTGTGGGTCTCTCCTCTTGGGGACAATAGCTTCAAACACAGTGCCAGCTAATGACAATGTCAAGGATAACAATGATCACAAAGTGCTGAGAAACAAAACGGCCACATTTCCAAAGCAATGTCTTCTTATTCCAACCACAGGGCCTTCCCCGAGAAGGTGCTGTACGTCTCTCGGCCAGCCAGCCGGCTGGCTCCACACGCACACAAGTGCTGGATCTTAAACAGGCCTCTATGCAGGCTGGCAGCCTTTTGTTTGAGCCTAGAGACATTCACTTTTCATCACATGAGTGTTCCAAAATGTCAACACTTGGGTATTATTGGACACTCAGAGATTTTTTTTCTTCTCCCTGTTGTAACAGGTAATGCCCAACAATTCTTTTATGTATCTAAAATGTAAAAGTGAAAGTTTTCAGAGAAAGGCCTTCCTTCCTATTGGAGCCCTGAGGGCTTGGGAGAGGAGGGGTGCCGCTGGCATGGGGCACGCCGCCCCGCTGCTCACCTCTCTTTCCTGCAGCAGTCGGCGCAGGGTGCGCTTCCGGACGATGTGGCGCCTGCGCAGGAAAAGGCCGATCCCGAGGGCCACCAGCAGCAGCAAGAGGAGGCCGCCCACAATCCCGGTGGCGATGGAAGGGATCTTGGGCCTGGAGGGAGGTGCAGAGACAAGGGCGTGAGGATTGCTGATGGAGTCCACGACCCCGGCATCTGACGTATTTCCTGCGTGTTTTGATACATTGGCATCATTTAAAATGATCTCAGAAACTGAGACAGTGTCTAGCTTCTAACTGGAGGAAGGAAAGCAGACTAAGAGTTCCAGGGCACTGCTTCCAACTTTCTCCAGGCTCTCCATCTCTGGTTAAATTTTTTAAAACTTGGATTTTAAAAATCAAGGTCTAACTTTCCACATGCTGATTATTTTTCAATCTGTTAAGTTATCTATTTATCTATCGATACGTGGCCAGCTGGTGGCACTAGACCCACATGGGAAAGGTCCTCGGTTTGTGTCCTGGAACCTCTCTAAGCCCACAAGGCCTTCATATGCCCACGATCCAGGCCAGCTGGATCACTGCATTAAGACTTGGTTGGGAGTGTCTATCACTCTCTCTTTCTCTGTCTCTCTCTTACTTAAAAAAAGAAAATATAGGACCTAGCAGGAAGTTTAGGCACTGGATTGCACATTGCTGACTCTGAGGTTCAAGGCCTGTACTCAAGGGGCCTGAAAATCATGCCGGGTGTGTGTGTGTGCATGTTCCAAATCCCAAGAGGACGATGGATGAGACGGGATTGCAGCAGGGCCATCCTTCCTGGAGAAGTCATTTCTCACTTTCCCTCTCTTTCTGTCTCTCTTTGGTGAGTGCATGTACCCTATGGCAAAAAATCCCCCCCCCCAAAAAAAGAAAACAAACCTAAGGTTATATATAATTAAAAAATTAATTTGGATGTTAATAATGATTTCTGAGAGTTTGTATTTTGTTCACTCCAGAGGCAATTCCATACAATTGAACACAGTGGTCTGGGCACACGAGCCAGGCACTGTCTCCTGGCCAGTCAGGGTGAAGAGCCCTCTCAGAAATGTAGAGCTTCCTTTAGAAGGCCTTGGCTTTCCAAAGGGGACCCACGCTGTCAAGGCTCCTGTATAAATGAGCTTGAAGGGAGTTATAAAGTGGTGGGATTCAGGCACAAAATGCATTTGCCACAGTGAGCGATGTCGAACTATGGGGATACATTAATTTCTCTCTCTCACAGACATCACGTCTAATACCAGACTGAAGAAACGCAAAAGTTAGATTTTCAATCTGACCAGGAGAGAACCATCTGAATTAGTGATTCTGAATTTGGAGTTTTAGAGCAGTTATTATTCATAAATAACTATCCTCTTTACGCTGCTGTCAAATTGATTTATAGTTTCAGGTGGAAATGTTAATGAGTATCAAAGATTAATTAGAAATGCCATTTGCACGTAAGGAAGGTGCCAATGCCCTTACAAATTTCTCTTAAGTTTGCCAAATGTACTTCATAAAAATGATGCTTTACAACATTTTCTTATTAGGGAGTGCTAGTCATCTCTTGCATATCAGTCCCCAGTTCATGCAGTTTGCATGGACAAGTTTTAGTATTTTGAGGGGAACACAGGAAGCTGTCCAGAATAATTATTACAAAGTCTGTGTTCCAGGTGAAGTCACAATAGTGAGGGTGAGTGAGAAGAGAGAAAAAAAAAAGTTAAAAAGAGTAAACAAAGCAAAGAATGGTTCACTAACTGGTTTCAAGGTGGGGCTGTGAGGGAAAACTTCATTCCTAAGATTGCTGAGGTTGTAGTATGTGGATAGGAAAATTGTGACTGGATGTCCTTAGGTTCGGTGAAGAGACAAAGATGAAAGGAGATTTTATCTCTGAGAAAATACCTCTGTTGTTTCTCTCTCTCTTGTTTAATTTTCAGAGATCATGTGTGTTTTCCAGAGAGAGACTGAGACAGAAAGGTGGCGGGGGGGGGAGTTGCGGAGGAAGGAAGCAGCTCTTACTGTGACATGGTCAAATTGCAATCCCTTCTCCTTTATCATCCTGATGAAATTCTGGGCGCATACACACACATGCCCAGTGTTTTTTTTTTTTGGAGAGGTTTTTCGCTATAGGGTGTGTGCGCTCGCCAGACAGACAGAGAGAGACAGAGAGACAGAAAGCGAGAAATCACCCCCGGGGGGGATGGTCATGCCGCAATCCCTTCTCCTCCATTCTCCTCTCGGGATCTTGGGCACACACGCACACGCGCCGGGCGTGAGTTTTAAGCCACCGGGTCCGGGATGCAAACCGCGGTCGACTACGTGGGAGTCCAGCGACATAGTCATTACGCTAACTGCTGGTCCATATGTCCAGTGTGTTTAAAACAATTTTTTTTAAGAATTATTTATCTAACTTTATTTATTATTAGTACTTTAAAAAAATTTGCTATAGCACATGTGTGCTCACCAGAGAGGAACACAAACACACACACACCACACACACACACACACACACAGAGATAGAGAGAGAGAGAGAGAGAGAGAGAGAGGAGAGAGAGCAAGCCACCAGATCTGGGACTCGAATCGTGGCCAGTCATGTGGGAGTTTAGCACCTTAACCACCATACTACCTGCTGGCTCTCCAGTAAAAGAGAGGCTTGGCAAAGAGGAGTATCCAGCCAAATGAGCATAACTAAAGTCGGAGAAGCAGCTGGCGTCTCCCCATGAAGCAGGCCCTTCAACGTGGTTTTCAACCCACCAGGGGTCAGTGTTTGAGCTGAGTTGGCCGTGTGGGATCGGGTTCCCTTAATCACTAGGTGACAGAGTTGGCCCCTCCGTTCTCTGTAACATATCGAATGGCAGCAGTGATCAGCTAGTACTATGAATTTGCAGTGAAGGAGTTCCTTGGAGTTGAGGTAGGGCTGATAAGGGAGGGATTTTGAAGACATGATCAGGAAATGGCAGAGGTGCCTGGAAGTTTGGTGAATGTGTGGTGAAATAAATAAGGAGAAAGAATCCTCCAAGTTGGAGCTTTGTCTTTGAAAAGAAAGACCATTCACTCAGGCTGTGTTAGGACCAATGGGCTTAGTGAGACAAGAAGAGAAGCTTGGAAAAGAGGAATATCCAGCAAAATGAGTATAACTGGAGAAGTTGGAGAAGCAGCTAGGCATTGCATACCAGCTTCTGGTGGGGCAGGCCCCAGCACGCCACCTCCCACATTCCAGACTGAAGAAGAGTCAGTATGGGGGAGGTTGGCGGAACCAGCAGGTTCACTATTCTAGGCCTTGGCTGTCCCAGAGGAGATATAAGATCTTGACAAGGACAGAGGAGAATCAGAAATGCAGGAAAAAGGGACCAAATGGTGGCACAATGGTAGCACAACTGGGCCCACTTGGGAAGGTCCCTAGTTGATGTCTTGGGGCTCCCCTGTATGTGCCAAGCACGTGCAAGTGCCCCTGAACCTGGCTGGCTGGGGCTGGAGGCACAAGGACCTTGCTGGGAGTGCCTCACTCTCTCATTCTGTCACTCCTTACTATGGAAGAAATAAATCAACTTAAAAAAAGAAAAAAGAAAAGAAAAAGAAATACAGGCAAGGATTATCCTTGTTCACAGAACTCACAGTCACTTTTTAGGCTCCACTAGGCATGAAGCTGAATACTTACCCATTGATTGAACAGCCTTCAAGACCTGGCCCAGCACATCTGTAGAAATCAAAATAGAAACACGTTTTTCAGGCCAGCAGGTGGCATGGTGGTTAAGGCACTGGCCATTCCCACATGGCTGACCAGTTCGAGTCCGAGACCTGCTGGCTTGCTTTCTCACTTTCCCTCTCTCTGTGTGTCTGTCTTTCTCTGGTCGAATGAAAATAAATGAATGAATAAATAAAAGTAAATTAAAAAAAAGAAACACACTTTTCTCATTCTACTTTTCTGGCATATCTTTCTTTTTCTTTTTTTTTAAAAAATTAAATCGTAAGGCAATATCTGTTAAATTCATCTGAGATCATTAAATTAACAGTGTGTCTCAGTTTTAGCGTGGTGGTTCATAATTTCTTATTCATTTATTCATTTGTTCATTCACTCAGCAAATATTTTTGAGAGTCTACTCTGTGGCATAGATTGAGCATTAACCTTTCCTCAGAGGCAGACTACTTTTGGCAATATATAGCTGTTGTGTAGCTGGCTCTAGAATGTTCCTTTGGGTAGGGGAGAAGAGGCACTGAAGACCAGAGACAAACACTGCGGCCGCTGGGACGGCGGGGTGGGCTGGCAGTGCAGACAGTACAGGCTGACGGCAAAGCCTGCTCTTTGAACAGTCACCTGGCGGTGAGGGAATAGAAGGGAGGCTGCTTCTGAGAGAGAAGGAAATGGACAGTAGACAGAATGAGCACCCAACAGCCTTGAAAGGCTGCTTCTGAGAGAGAAGGAAGTGGACAGAATGAGCAACCAACAGCCTTGAAGGAGAGCAGGAAGGACAAGTGAAGGCCTGAGCCTAAGAGCTGGGAGGAGGGCCACGGTGACAAACCAGGAAGTCGGGCAGAGCTGGCCTCTCCAGTTCCAGCTGAAACGTCCGACATGCAGAAGAAACAGGACTTGTCTTAAGTAAGTGTGAATCCACCACCAGTTATTTTGATTATAGGATCATGGTCTATAAAGGCAGAATACATTAGCTTCGAAAGCCGTATTTCACGGCCTGGGGAAATACAAACAATTGCATTTCAAAAATACGAAGAGGATTTGGGAAACTCGTGTTGGGCACTGCCCTTAACATTTTTTAAAAGCTCTTTTCCCTTAGTAGACAACTGTGATCTCCACACCCTATTCTTGTTGGTTCTGAGGGTCTGGACTCCCCCACTTTCGTGGTGTCTGATGACGCGTCTTCCCTGTGCTGAGGTGTAGGTAATGGCTTGTCCTCTGAGGGTTCACGGGTTGGAATTTGGTCCCTAATGTAATGGTACTGGAAGGCGGTGAGACCTTTAAGAGCGAGAACTGCCTTCACGTTGGTGGGCACCATCTAATTGGCTGGGAGCATGGGAGGGACAAAGAGAAAGTGGAAAAATTCTGCTACCTCTCTTCCTTTTTCTCAGGCTGCCCACCGGCCTACTTTTCTCAGCAATGCTGTAACAATAACAGCAGAGGCCATTCTGATACCAGGCCCAAGCTTCTGGACTTCCCAGTTACCGGAATCATAAGCCACATACACTTTCATTCTTTATAGATCACCCAGTCTCCGGTGTTCCAGTTCGCAACATAATTGACTGATACACCCTGCCATAAACCGAACAAAGTGGCTTCTTCATGCAGTGGAAACACACAGGGGAGCTTGGTTATTGTGTCCTCCGTTATCCCTAGGGACACCAACATAGGCAAAGATAAATAGCATTTACTAGTGAACTGATCAGTGATAAAATTAGGCCCTATTCAAACTGAGTCCCTTCTCACTGGAGTGTCCCCCGCCATGCCTGGCAGCTCTCCCTGGCTGGTAACACCGTGGACACCCTGGAAAGTGAGTGTATATAGAAACGACGCAGTTCGGACAAAATGCAGGTTCTGTGCAGGTTTCGAAAGTGCTTCTGGAAAATTGCAGAGATTGCTGACAAGAACCTGGAACAGTCACACTTGGGGAAAAGGCAGGCCTGTGTACACTGACAAGGACAGCAACCCACAGGTTGGGAGAGAGGGCAATGTGAGAATCAGATTTCCAGACCCCGGGGAACGCGGCTAACACCCTTGTGTAATTTTGCAGAAATAATTGTTGAATATAAAGTTACGAAGGCTGTATCATTCCATCATTCATTTTGCCAGAAAAATGATTGTCTGTCCTCTATTCGATTTACTCTTGTTGGTAAGGAATTAATACATACTAGTGAATGTTGTCACATATAACTAAAATAGGTAAAATTTCATACTATTTAGTTTAATTTATCAAGATAAAACTTCAAAGAAACTTTCCCTTTATCACTTACAAGGAGGTCTTCAGCTCATGGAAGATTGTATCATGAAAAAATGAGGCATGAATTTCAAATTTTTTACACCAACATAAACTATTAATTCAATTACATTTTCCACAAACATTCTGAAATACCCTGATATATACACGTTTATCTCCAAAACATAGGAAAAAGGGAGAAGATACATTTATTTCATACAGCTAGTAGAATTGTTTTATTAGAAAATTTGCTCCAAAATTTCTCAAAAAACAAATCCAATGAAAAACTAACATGGTTTATTTTATTATTTATTTATTTTTAAGAGGTTTTTGCAATAGGGCATGTGTGCTTGTTGGAGGGAGAGAGAGAGAGAGAGAGCGCAAGAGAGAGAAATAGCAAGAGGGAAAGTGAGAGGTCACCCTCCCCAGGGGGGTGGCTATCCTGTAATCCTTTCTCCTCCATTCTCTCCCATGGGATCTTGGGAGCATGCACATGCTCCTGGTATGATTTTCAAGCCGTGGGTCTGAGACTTGAACTACAGTTGGCCATGTGGGAGTCCAGTGACATAACCACTATGGCATCTGTTGGTCTCTTAACACAATTTATACTTTATAGAGCTTACAAATTGGGCAATATAACCAGCCTTATACCCAAAGGGGAAAAAGTATGAAAAAAATCCTAAATTGATACCAAAGAGTATTTAGTAAGTTTTAGTATTTAGTGAGTTCAGAATCCATTCTGGATATTAAGAATTAGTTCAAAACTAGATAGAGAGGACCATTTCCTTAAGCAGATAATCAGTATCTCATACTAAGAGCAAATACTGTTCTCAGTGTTGAGACATTATGACCACTCCCGTCATCATCAAATGTAGAATTCTGATGTCCACTATCGCGGTGTCTAATCTTATCCTAGTAATTCCAGTCCCTTATACTACGATTTGAAGCTTTTAGAAATGAGATCATGGTAGTGTTATTGGAGATGATACGATTGTCCACATAGAAAAGTCCTAATCATGAAAGCTGGGTGGCAGTGTGGTGGTAATGAGAAGGTCCTCAAGGTTGATCATGTGGGATGGCCCTCGATTTGCATCCAGAGACCTCCCTGAACGTACAGAGCACACACGTGCCTATGATCTGGGACTGGCTAGAGCAGGGGGTGGATTATGGCACAAAGATTGTGTTCACGACCCCTGTCTCTCTGTTTCTCTCTTAAGTAAGCAAAACAAAACAAAAACGAACCTTGAAAACATCGTAAATCATCTACATGACTCAGTCACCACCATCACCCGCCCACCACCAGGTTACCACTGCTTGGTGCTCACCCTGTGAGCTCACTATTTTGAGTACATTTCACTCAGTAATTCACAGCCACAAACGTCATCTAAGCTATGCCATATCATCCGGACTTGCAGATGAAGAAAGGGAGGCACAGAGAAAATAAGACTCTTGCCCAAGGTCACACGACTAGTACGAGATGGGTCCAGAGAGAGAAAGTAACAATTCCTAACAAGATTAGGACGTGGAGACTTACAAGGAGACATGACATATGAGATAAGACAGCTCAGCTTCTCTTTCTGATGGCGGGGTGTGATCTGGCTAGACTGCGAATTTATTATTGCGGAAAACAGATAACATCCAATCAGCGCGAGGCTGCTAATTCCAGTCAAAACAACTTAACTTCATGTAGTAACAGCTTAACAGTCAGCCAGCTAAGAAAGTGTCTTAAAGCAACATTCCAGGCAATGTGACCCTTTATTCAGTGCAAAACAACAACAAAAATTAGTCTCCATACTAGCGCTAGCCATCTGGAGAGATCCCTAGAAACTTCTGGAGAGGCAGAGGTGGCAGCTGCCAGGCCCTATGCCCTCATTCCATCGCTCACTTCTCTCCAGTTTGGACACGCAGCCTGGCGGAACACAGCCCTGGCCTTAGAAGCATCAGGAGAGGCAGAGGCAGGGGTGCACCTTCCAGCATACAGATCTGCCAGGAGCATGCTCTCACTGATGCCAAAACCAAGACCCAAACACCTGCAGTGAGGGACTCAAAGACCAACCTCTGATCTATGGCCTGGAAACTGGACACATTTCCAACCCGTGAATTTGTGAGATTGTAAAATTCTGTTCTTTTGCATTTTCTTCTCTAGGCCTGGAGCCTGCACTTACCCATAGGTGCAGTTGGAATGGCACAGGTGACATACGCGGTTGGCATCGGCGTACTTCCAGACCAGGGTGTTATTTTCTCCCATGATTCCAGCTGGGCAGGTCTTGACACAGTGAGGGCCATCAATGAAGTGGGCACACTTGATGCAGTTGTCTGGTCCCTGCACCCAGGTGGAAAAAAACATTCATGTAGGTCCCTTGCTTTTTCTAAGCGGAATGAACTTTTTCACTTACGCTTCTAAGTGCAGGAGGAAAATCCCAATGACAGAAGTCCCTAAAGTAGAAAACAAGTTCTTCTGTGATTGCGCTTGCACTGCCAGCAGCTAGCGTAGTCTTCCTGACTTTAAGCACACATAACATCCACAAACGTAAAGGAAACCATGCTCTGGTTTCCTGCATTTTGCTTAACCCATTAGGCATGTTTCTCCTTGTCAAAGCCAACCTGACTGGCCTGCATGTGGATATATATTCTTACTGCTGAGAGTCTTTCTTGCATATCCTGTGGGAAAATGAAGGGAAGCTCCGAATGAAGCCAGACTTGCAGAGGTGAATTTACAAAAAGCCACATGGACCTTTCTCCAGGGATAAGATGACGAAGGTGAGCACGACAGTGGCTGCATCGGAGACTGTGTAATACGCTAAATGTGATTCTGTTTGTAAAATCTGGGACGCCTTTGCCAAACTCACAGAGGTGAAAACATTGGAACTGCCTAAGGCATGCACTCCACATTTTGTACGGGAAACAAGACAGCACAGTAGGGAAGGGTTTTCCCCTCGCTGAGTTCTCTCCTGTCTCACTCCTGCTGTCCACTAGAAGAAATGAGCATGCCCAGAACCAGGGCCACCAGATGACTAAATACCACCAATTATTATTATTAGCATTTCAGTTTTTGCTACGGGACAGGTGTGCTCACAAAAGAGAGAGAGAGAGAGAGAGAGAGAGAGAGAAAGAGAGAGAGAGAGAGAGAGAGAGAGAGAGAGAGAGAGAGAGGAGAGACCCACACGAGCGGCGACCAACC